CTATGAGCACATCCGAAGATTATCTTGCCCAATTGGCAGATGAGAAAAAGTAGAGGCTCAGGAATTGTTAGTTTCCTTCCCTCGGACTTCACGGGGCCCTTAAGAAAGTTGAAGTAGATGCAGTCTCTAAACTGTAATATACTATGCAAATGTTAGCAATGAAAATGATGGTCATGGCCCCATTTTTTATCTCAGGATCCCCACCGTCAGTCTTGGAGATTCAGGTTTGAAATGTGCACCATTAATTCTTACAAATCGATCCAACTAAGTGCAATTCTAAACTCTTAGAAACCCTGAAAATCCAGCCCTGCCATCCGCAATGGGGCTGTCAGCACTTACCGGGAGAGCAGAGAAATGCCTGGGAGAATGGCAGGTCTGAAAAAGCAGCAAGCTCCACCTGACAGTCTGGACTTAAATAAATTGTATTTTCTGGCTGGAGGTGATAAGGCATAAATTTGAAGCGTGTGTTACTCTTACACATCATTATGCCCTGAAATGGAGAAAGAGAGCTGCATCTTGTCCCAAGTTTGAAGCAAAACTGCACTGTGTGTAAATAGCTCTCAGGTCTTTGATGTTGAGCTAAGAGAAAAATAATCCTCTCAGAAAAGCCAGGTGGAAGCTGAGGGCTCAGCAGACAGACAGGGAGGCCGGCAGTGGGAGCAGCCAGCGTGCACCCTGCCATCTCAGAGCCCCTTCTCCTGCCCCCACCAAGGTAAACTGTCTTCTTTCCTGAAAGGATTATTTCCTCTAATATCTTCACAGAGAAGCAAGCAAAAACGCTTAGGTATAATTAAGTGGGAAGTTAAGGTCACGGCAGAGAAAGGGAGGGAAAGGGAGTTGGACAAGGTGTCAGCCTGAGCTCCCACCAGACGCAAGCCAATTGGCCAGCACCAAAAGGTGCATCCTAGACGTGGTCAAGGGGACAGGGCATAGCAGCACCTTGGAGCTCATCCATTCATTCATTCATTCAACAAGACAGACACAGTCTCTTCTCTCTTCTCTCTTACAGTTTAGTGTAAGACATGTCCAACAGATAATCCAGTTACACACTTTGACATGCACTATAAAGGAAACGTGCAGCGGTGTGAGCTGTATAACAAGAGGCCCCAGTTCACATGGAGGCTGGGGTGGTCAAGAGAGGCCTCTGGGGAAGTGGCATTTAAGCCAAGGCCTGGTCACAAGTTGGCCAGGCAAAGAGTGTGGGAAGAATATTCTAGGCAGAAGAAACAGCACGAGGAAAGGCCCCACAGAGGGAAGAGCTCGTCGTACATTCCAGGAGCTGAAGAGGCCAGTGTGTTTGAAGCACGTGAGAGAGGGGACAAAGGCAGACTGGGTCCAAACTATATAAGGTCTGCTGAGGATTTGAGACTTTATCCTAAATGCACTAGGAAGCTGCAGAGGGTGTTAGGCCTTTTTGTGGTAGTCTTGACTTGATAAGAACTTAGCCATTGCAGAGTGTCACTTGGCCATCTCTCAGACATGGCTGCAGTCACCCTCTAGCTCCCTGCACTGCCACTCTGGTTGCCACACCCCGACCTGGGTCAGTGCACACCTGGCAACTTTGTGCATTTACCCCAGCACCCTCCCCCAGGAGGAGAAAGCAGAAAAGATGAGACTGACACTGAGAGCATCTGCAGTTGCTGCTACCTGGGCCTAGGATGAGTACCAGACCTGTAAGGGGGCCCAAGGATGGGGAGCAAGTCTCTGTCACTCCCACCTCAAGGACCTGTCAGCTCCCTCCTCTATAGGGACAGACTCTGATTCGCAAGGCTTCAATGCTGCCAGCCCAGTGCCTGTCACAGAGCAGGCACTCAGACAGTGACCAGCTGAAGTTAGCAATCTCCTAGATCCCTCATCCCCTGTTGTAAGTGGGGAAACTGAAGGAGGCTGGTATAAAGGAAGGAATAGGCTGGATTAGGAATCCGTGTCCCAGATGAACATGTCCTTGCTTCACAGCCTTGGGCGAATCGCTTCCTCTCTGCCATGTCTCCATTTACTTACCTATAAAGTCAGATGGGTGGGTGAGATGATCTCTAAGACCACTTTCAGTTCTCACACCTCGTCATCACCCTTGGAAGCTCAGAGAGGGTACCTTTATCACCGCCACATAACCTGTTTGTGGCATGGCTGGGATCACAACGGACTCCAGGAGTAGACAATGCATTCTAACCTCAGCCCAGTATTCAGAAGTTTAAATACCAAATAGCGGGGATTTGGGGGATTTGAATTTGCAATCTGGTGCTAAGCCGAATGTACTTACTTACAAATTCTTTATATAGACAAGAAAATGAATATTATAAACTATTTTGGAGCCAAAGAGGTTATTTGGTGAATCTACAAAGAAAAACTCTGTTGGAGCATTCCAGAAGTCACTCCAGATCCCTTACAATGGATGTGCTAACTATAAAATGCTCTCATCTGTTCATTATAGCGGCCCTCAAGAGCATATATCTAGGAAGACAAGTTTTAAGCCAAGTTCAGTGGCTATATACAATAGTAATGATAAAGCTCAGTTCTTTGAAAAATTATGTTCCAGCTGTCCCCATGATGAAGCTGAGAGAATAGGGCTTGTCTGTGCTGAAATAGCACAGCTGGCCAGGGACTCAGAGCTGTTTTGTACAGTGGAGAAGAATGTGGAATCTGGTGTTTTGCTGACCCTTCCTACAGATCATAAAAGCAGGTAGTAGGGCTTCTACTTCTTTGCAGTCCCCATAATCTTTGCACAGTGTAGGAGCACATGCACATGCATGTTGATTGGCTGTTATAAAAAGCAAGGCAGAGAGGAAAAGTATGTGGCTCGGAAATGTCCCAGTGACAAAGACTCAGGGCAGCACACCCAGAAAGAGAATATGTGTTAGAATCAGACAGACACAGATTTGAATTACAGCTTCTCTGCTTAATAGCTATGTGACTTTAAAAAAGTCACATAACCTCTCTGGGCCTCAGCTTCTGCCTCTGCACAACGGCAGTGATACCCACAGGTGGTCACAGTTTCAAGGGTGAAATGAGACAACATAGGTAAGCATCTAGCACAGTGCCGGGTACTGGTAGAGGCCCCTCTTTCTTCCTTCCATCCAGTCATCACGATCTGCATGAGAAAGGCAGCCTCCAGCCTTCACCCCTGTGATTTACCTGCCCCTGCACTAAAGGTGGGAAGCCAAGCAGCATTCCTGGGCCTCCACGCTGCAGGAGGAAACAGTGCCGTAGAGGATGATCAGGGAGGCAACCGGGGCCCAAATCTCAGTCACTGCAGGAATCCAATACATTGGGCCTGGCTTTCTTCCAGCCAGTCTTGCCAGATGTAATTTGGCTTCTGCTCAAGATTCCAAAGCAGTTATGTAATCATAATAACCACAGCATTTGTAGAAAGCTTTTATAATTTCAAAGTACTTTTGCATGTATTACCGCAGTTGAGCCTTTCAATAACCTTGAGAGGTAGCTAAAGCAAGGACTAGACCTGCCTTTTTATAGATGGGGAAACTGAGGCTTGGAGGGTTTATTTGGTTCACCCCACGTCACACAATAAGTGGCCATATCAAACTCAAACAAAGATCTCTGCATTCCTTGCCCTGGGCTTTTCCCACACCGTCATACTGCGTCTTTGTAATCATGCGTTCATCAAACAAAAGTGGACTGAACAACTACTGTGTGCCAGGCAAGGACTAAGTGCTGGGATTCAGAAATGAAAGGCAGGGTCAAATTCAGGAGAGATGCGGGACCAACTATTCAGTGCCACGTGATAGCTATCATGGTAAAGGTGAGGAGGGGGTAAACCCAACTTTGTCCAGGGGCTCAGGAAGGCTTCGTGGAGGTGGAGATGCATCAATCCAGTCTTACAGAACAGTTAGAGGCTGCCCAGACAGAGAGCCAGAGGTCGTCCAGGCAGAACAAGGAATGAGAGGAGTTACAGGCAGCAGAAGTGGCAAATGGAAAGCCATATCCAAGGGCACCGCAAGGTTTTGATCTAGCTCCACTCCCCCACATACTCACTCATTCATTCATTTGCCATATATTTCTGGAGCATCCCCATGTGTTGGGCACTGGGCTAGCCACAAGGGATAGATACTTCAGCAGATGTAGTACCCAAGCCCATGGAACTTACATTTTAGTGGATTTCTGGGAACTCAGTGGGATGGAGTAGGCAGAGGCATCATAGAAGACTGTTGGTGCACCTGAATTTTAGCCTAAGGGGTATGAGGAGCCTTGATGAATTTTAACGCGCACAGGATTGACAAAATCAAGTTTGCATTTCAGAGAGAGCAACCCACAGTTAACTTAGAGGATGGGCCGGAGAAGGTTATCTGGAGTCCAGGGGCCCAGCTAGGAAACTGCAGCTGCTCAGGCAGTACATGACTGGGTCCTAAGTTACAGCAGTGCAGAAGACAAAAGGCAAAATGCAAGATGTGTAGAGACAGTGTCGACAGGCCTTGCTGGTTAATTGGACATGGAGGTGAGGAAGAGGGAGTGTAGACAGCTACTGTGAGGGTCTGGTTTGAGCCCCTTGGCAGGTGGCGAAGCTATTCCCCATCACAAGAGTTCAGAAGAAATATGCCGGGGAACAGAGAGCCTGAGGAAGAATTATTCCCATGGGGACATGCTGAATGTTGGAGATCTGTGGATCCCCCTAAGGTCACGTTTATTAGGCAGTGGGATCGGTATGTCTGGAGCCCAGGAGAGATCTCAAAGCCAGAGGTTCGGATTGGAGGGTCAAGAGCTTAATAAGGATGTTCGACACTTGGAAATGGACAGGACAACCAGAGGGAAAAGATCCCATTGCAACAAACCCCAAGGGGTGCCCAGATTTGTTCTTTGATGGCAGAATCCCACTTGGCAAGTCAAGCCATTAGCCAAGATGAGGAATCACTGGTCTCCAAGAGGGGTTGATTGTGATAGGCTGTTGGGACTCTGGCCTACTGTTGGATTTCTGGGGTCTCGCCATTCTCCAAAGCCCAGTCTGAAGTCACCCATATGCTTCTCTCTCTCTCTCTTCTCTTCTTCAGGTGTTTACAAAATATGGGAAGTGTTACATGTTTAACTCAGGCGAGGATGGCAAACCTCTGCTCACCACGGTCAAGGGGGGGACAGGCAACGGGCTGGAGATCATGCTGGACATTCAGCAAGATGAGTACCTGCCTATCTGGGGAGAGACAGGTGAGCTGGGCACATGGATCGGGGCAGTGGGTGATGGCAGAGGGGTGCAGGATTCTGAAAGACTGGTTTGCCTCAGGTGGCTGTCTTGGCCCAGCCTGTGATGGACTGCTCTCCATCGGAGGGTTGGTGATATGCCAGTGAATGGTAAGGATGTTCTTGGCATGGACTGGGATGTTTCCTAGGATTTTGCTAGATGGAAAAGGGGCAGGTGGTGGGAATACTGGAAAAGGAAAGCAGGTATAGCGAGGGGAGGTATTGGCAGGAGGCATGGACAAAGGTGTGAATCAACAAGTATGGTTGGGCAAGTGAGTGTCTTGATTTCAGGAGAAGAGGAAAGGATGGACTAGCCCTTTCTTCTCCCAGCCATCTTGAATATTTCAACCTAGCTAGGAGGCTCAATGGAGAGGAAAGCAGGATCCTCCCACTGGGGAAGGTGGAAGGGCTGTGCAGTGTTGGAAAACCAAAGGGTACGGACTCAGGGGCCCAGCACCATGCCTGTGTGAGTCCCCCGGGGCCCATGTGTACAGGCCCCAAAGCTTATTTCATGCATTCAGTTATTTATTTAGCAAACAATGCATTAGCCATGCGTACTATCTCCAGCTTTGCACCAAAGTAAGGACATTATGATGAAAAAGGTTGAGCCTTTGATCACAGGAGGAGGAAACACACAATTGCAGTCCAGTGTGACACAAATGTGCTGGTGTTATGGAGAGATGGCAGCCTTTACCTGGGGGACGGGAAGGTTCAGGGAAAGCATTCTAGTGCATGGGGTATTTGAACAGGGTCTTGAAATTACCCTGGATTATGCAGGTGGGTCCTCCTATGAGGGGTGCAGGAAGGTCAGACAGGGGAGAAGGTAATGCGAGGGCGGAAGCAGAGACTGGAGTGATGCAGCCAGTAAGCCTCAGGATACTGGCAGCCTCTATGATTTTACCGAGTGGAGAAAATACAGAGTGGGACCGTGGATGCAAAGGGGATCGAAGTGCGACTAAGGCCGTGTTCAGGGCATCACGGGGAGGAGCAGGGAAGGGGCTCAAGAGATGGGCCTGAGGAGGGGCCGCAAGGAAGGGTGGAGGGGAGAGAAGTTTCCAGCAGGAGGGAGGCCCTGGCCCCTCAGGTTAGAACTGAGGACGGGGAGGGGATGGAGGCTGAGCAGCCCAGACCCCACTTCTTGCAGCCCCCACCCTGTGATTCCTGCAGCCAACTCCTCTGATTCTGAGGTCCAGCCCTCACCACACCCAGGGCTTCCAGGCTTCTAAGGTGGCAAGGGCTTCCACTCAAGGTATGACTGACCGCAAGCTCAAAAC